CTCTCTCTCTCTCTCTCTCTCTATATCTCTCGGACTATCTTTTCCTCTCTCTCTCTTTCACTTCTTCTCTTCTTCTCTCTTCCTCATGTTGGTATTATATTTTGGAAGTGTTGAGGAAATCATGACGCGATGTGGACCAGCTGAGTTCGCGTTCTCCTTGTAGTTGCCCTGAAGGTTTAGGCGCCATATGACGTCACGTAATTTATGTAACGTTTCAGCGATGTGCACGGCGGAAAGGCTACGGCGCACCACGACGCACTGTCCTTGCTGTCTGCGTCGCAACATCTGTCTAGTGCTTCGCGTGGTTTGACCTGCATACCTGCTGAGTGTCATCAGTGTCGTGATCTTTGTAAGAAGCCACCCAAGGCTAAGGCCGCATCAGGTCATGTTTTGGATGTGACATGACCTTCGCTTAAGAAACGGTTAGATCATGAAACAAAGCTGGTATCTATTTGTCAATGAGGATTGAAGGGCCATGCCAGGTCAAGGTCCGTCGGGTCAAGTCGTTAACATGGCCTAAAGTCATGTTGGCAAGACCTTTACCGCGCGGTAGTAGTATCGTCCTATACGCGAATTGCAAATACAAGATATTCATAGTGAAGGTCGTGGAAGGGCATAAGGCACGCATGAGACACATGAGACTAACACGCCTTCAGAAACGCAGAAGACACGTTTAAGAAAGAGTCTCTAGGAAGTAGATCGTGGCATGCTTTGATTTGAGCCGTCTTTCCTTTGTTGTCGAATCAAGGCCAATCACTTATATCAGTGGCCAAAGTTTGGCGGCGTTTGACACAACCTGACTGGTAGGAACGACCTGAAATGCCGCATGCCAGACGTGTGGACCGCGCACCGGACTACCGCCCGTCTCGGCAATTGTTGCTCCAGCTCATCGGGCGTGACGTTGTCATCTGTGGTCATACCAGCGGCCGGCGGCCTCAACCGGCAGGCGTGCCCGCTGGCGCAGGTGTGCCGGCGGCGGCTGGTGCAGGAGAGAAGCGCCCTCTCCTGGTTCTCGCTCCTGGTCCCGCCCCCTCGAACGGCAGGCGCAGGTGTACTGGCGGCGGCTGGACCAGGAGAGAGGCGCTCTCTCCTTGTCCTCGCTCCCGATCCCGCCCCCTCGAACGGCATCGCCAGCGTGACGCATCCCGCCTCGGTGCAGTCCCTGGTCCTCTTTTCCATGATGGCTGGACTTCCCCCGGTTGCACCGGCCTGGCCGATGGCTGCGGCCTGCCGGCTGGTGGAGGCGTGTCGCAACGCTCCACTTGGGTCAGAGCGTGCCGCCCCTGCACCCAGGAGGAAAGCGGGGGGAGTCGCCCTGAGCACACCTGGTCTTGTAGTAGGCGCCATTAGCCATCAGAGAGCCGCTGTGGTCCGGCTGTACCGCCTGCACCGGGGTGCCCCCCCCCCCCCTTGGAGTTTTGACGTTAGGGGAGGGGAGGGGTGTGGCCGGACACGGTGGGCTGTCTCGGAAGCCAACAGACGTCTCGATGCCGTCATTCTGGCGACTGGTGACCTGTCGCCGCTCGCCTCTCCGCTGAGGGCACTGCGGACTGCGTGGATGAGTCCCCGCCGTCTCTCTGGCGACGGGTGACCTGCCGCCGCTCTCCTCGCCGGTGAGGGCGCTGCGGACTGCGTGGGTGAGTCCCGCCGTCTCTCTGGCGACGGGTGACCTGCCGCCGCTCGCCTCGCCAGTGAGGGCGCTGCGGACTGCGTGGGTGAGTCCCCGCCGTCTCTCTGGCGACGGGTGACCTGCCGCCGCTCGCCTCGCCGGTGAGGGCGCTGCCAACTGCGTGGGCGAGTCCCCGCCGTGAGCTGTGACGGCGCCTCGTGCAAATCTCGCCGAGGAAGGAAGGCTGATGCCGCTTGTATGGGATCCCGCGTCGTGGGAGCAGACTTATTCCAAGGTTCAGGAAGGGAGGTGTGCTGTAAAAGAGACGTTGATATGAGAGCAGCACCCAACGAAGAAAGAGTCTGACAGGAGTCCTCAAGCAGTCCTTGCTGTGGACCGGAGTCCTTGCCGTGGCTTAAGGGGCGCAGTGGAACAAGACGTAGTGCAAGTATTGGGGAAGGAGTGGCGATTGTGAGATGCATTCGACATGGAGACGAAGGGCAGCTAGCCGACACTGATGCAACACTATTGACTTTCATCGCTTTGCGTTGATCAGTCGAGTCAAGGTCGGCTCCTGCTCCATACTGGTTTGATGCTCCATTCCTGACTCGGTGCGGCTCTACAGTTGTTAGGCATTCTGGCATTTTGCCCGACATGCTGGAAGGTGCTGAAGTGTGTGAAGTGTGCGAAATAGGGCATAGCATGCCGAATTGCTGGTCCGAAACTCTGAAATCAGCTTATGGCGGCAGACCCGTGTGTCTACCTCGCGAAATGCTCCACTTTTGTCATGGCGGAGCTCCTCATCACGGAGGGGAAGTGAGGATGCTTCTACGAAGCCCACCGGAGGGTGGGGGAGGGGGAGCAGACCCACACAGTCCGGTCTCATCAAATGCTATGATCCATCGAAAGCAGCGACATTATGCGGGTGCAGAGCGAAGAGGCTCGGAGGGAGCCTGGCCTGAACGCCTGAAGACCGGAGAGTGGGCGATGTGGTCGGCAGGATTGTGCGCACGCTGGAGGCTGGACACACGGCTGGCGCAGCGTCGTCCTTGACGGATGGGTCTGGCTCGCGCGCCTGGCCTCCACGCGGGGTCCTCGCACACCCCGGCGGACCGTTGGACGGCGCGCAGGTGCGATACAAGCCCGATAGGTCCTCGCCGTTGGCGGCGTCCCGGCGGCACGTCCCGCGGTCGCCGCTGGAGTACCGGCGTTTGGGGGCCTGGACGCTGGATGACGCACCCAGCGGTGCTCGGAACACGCTCGGGTATATGTGCTGCTACGTGACCTGAGAAGTCGTATGCTTCTGGAGGCTTCAGTGTTAGGATGAGTGGATTCGGATTCCGAGTTCGATTTCATATGCGAATAGATTCCAACGGATTTAAACATTTCCGTCGAAATCTCATAACTTTAACCTCAATCGTGTCCCCGTTAGGCCGGTTGCATTTGTTTCTGGTTGACTTCCTAACCATTCGCCAGTCGCGTATTTATGTATCAGCCAAAACACGGAGTGGAGCATATGCCTATATCGAACGTATATGCCCGAAAGTATAAAATTCAGGATGGGCGACTCGGTCCGATGCAGTACCGACATGCACGAGCAGAAGAAACACACGAGCATCGCACCATCTCTGGCAGGTCATGTTGCACTGCGATGCAATCTGTGACGCCGGCGACACAACCATGCGGAAGACATCACACGACGCCGAGCACTGCTGCCGGGCCTCGGCATAGAAATCAGCGGCGTCAACCACGTGCTTCGCCCTGGCAGACTCAGCGTGGCATACTTTGAGATCGCATATGGACGCGGTGTGGTGGATAGACATGGACGCGAGGGGGTGGACGGGATGTGGCACGTGGGACGCGAGGGGGGTGGACGGGATGTGGCACGTGGAGGACTTGGCGGCCATCGCGACCCTGAGCGAGGGAAGGACGACTCCTACCTACGGCACTGTCGCCCGGTGTTAGTAGACCTCAGGACCTCTCAGTGGGCGTCATGCTTAGCAGGTCAAGAGAAGACCTTGTGATGTAGGCTGCTTAAAGGGCGATAACACGCGCCCCGTATTTTACTTGGAAGCAAACGGCCTTGTCTCCAACATCCACCTGGAAACAGGAGCATTCTCTTCAGCATCGAATGCGGATTCCTACGAAGCGGTTCCACCGCAGATCATTTAGGTATAACGGCTGCACTACAGGCTTCCAGAGACTTTACATCCATCTGCCGTTGAGCCCGCGTGAAGAGTGTAAATGTATGGCAGTTGACTCATTTGAACTCTTGTATCTTGATGTCGGCTACAAGTTTCAGTGACATGCATGGAAGCATGCCGCACGATTATCTTAACGGCCGGCAGAATATGAGTTTGTGGTCCTCCCGACCGTGCCGTGGCTGCCGTGCATTGGAACCGAACCCATGGTCATTTGTACCGCAAGCAAGCATCCATTGGAGCGATTGGTGATTTGGAGGCATGCTGTCGGTATAAAGCATCATACACGCCGCGCCGCCATGGAAACGCGTGGGAAACAAATGGAAACGGTAGGATGAATCCTTTTGCTCGTTGTCCTATGCATTCGTTTGAATGGTATTGCGTGGGACGATGACAGCTCTGCTGGGATGTGCTCCATCGGGTATGCTGAATGTCATGACGAGAGGCTCACGTTCGCCGCACGGGCGGCGCCCCACATGCCGCTAGTACGCAGGTATGACGCCTGGCCGGGGCATTTGGTTTGGCTTGGATCACAGCCTTTTGAGCCAGTGATGACCATTTCAGGGTTATGGGATGAAGGAGAGTGGAGAGTGGTGGGGTAAGACCGCACTGCTTTGAAATGTGGGCGTCCGTCACAGGGCTAGCCACAGTTCGCGGCTACAAGACAACTGCGTTCGCTTTTTGTACCATTGTGGACAGCTGTTGGTGAAAATGCAGGCGTATGGGACATTGAGCGAGATGCTTGAGAAAGAGAGGGGTGTCGCTTTTTTGTAGAAGCGAGGCGAAGTTTCCTTTGTGTTTCTGTAGCGCAGACTCACAGATCATCGTTTCAGGTCGCACGTTAGCGTTAACCCTGGTGTTTTTGCGATAGGGTCGGTGAAATAAAACAAAGCAATTAAATTTCCGTTATGAATGAAGCACGTACCTCCTCTTTTGGTGGCGTGTTCCTTTGCGTTGCGGTCATGTTTAACACCATTCGTTGGCAGTCGTTGTCGCGAGCGGTTTCAACGACTAAGGTGACGAGTTTGTGCTGGCTGTGGTGTTAACGTTTCAAGAGCTGGGCATTATCAGCCCCATCTATAATGTCTGTCGACATGCCTGCCGCTGTGGATTGGGCGTATGGTGTCACCGCAGCCCAGCGTCGCCGTTGGTGGAGGCGCGCGGGACTGACGGCTGTCCCTCTTCCACAGCAATGGACCATACGATACCATCCATGGGGCCGCAGTCCCCAATCGACATCAAGCCGGATACGAACGCTCTCATCTCGTCGTCCAGCTACTCTCCACGACCGAACCGGCCCCACTCGCCGTCCGGGTAAGCGCCGCTCTGCCTGCGGTTCTGGTCTCACTCCAGGCAGGTGCTTATCTGCATGGAGCTCTAGCCCCACCCCAGTCACGCGCTGATCTGCGTGGAGCTCTAGTCTCATCCAGGCAGATGCTGATCTGTGAGGCGCTCCCTCTCCCCCCCCCCCCCCCCCCCCCCCCCCCCCCCCCCTCTCAGGCGGACGCTACTGTTGAGTTCCACCTGCCATCCTGGTAAGCTTTGGTCTCTTTGTCGGAAGTTGTCTGATTTGTCAGGAGTTCTACTCTCCTTCCTGGTAAGCCCTGGTCTGTCTGAAGTCCCACTTGCTCTCCATGTAGACCCTGATTTGTCTGGATCCGTCTCATTCCAGATTTTGCCAGGAATGGCGTGCACTGTCGCGTCTGGACTTGTACTTTGTCAGAAACAACGTCCGCTGTCGCGTCTGGACTTGTGCTTTGTCAGAAACAACGTCCGCTGTCGCGTCTGGACTTGTGCTTTGTCAGAAACAACGTGCGCTGTCGCGTCTGGACTTGTGCATTGTGTGACCGACTCCTGCAACATTCCTGGATTAGTGGCATTGGTTCGCTCAGTCTTGTTAGTGACAAACTGTGAACAGTTCGCGGTGAGCGACCGGTAGCAGACCGGTTTCAGTTTCCAGAATTTCGAAGGCCACCCTCAGCGGGTCGGGATTGCTGGGAGGGATGAAGGTGTGACGCCGCGAACGCTGTTGCCAAGCACAGCCAGCGCGTGTGCCGAGCTGGGCCAGTCTCAGACCGACTGCGTATGTTTTTCTCCTCGCTAGCGAAAGGAACCTTTACAGCTGTAACTTGTGCAACTGTGCGCAACCGTTGTTCTGCGGTCGCATTTGCTGACGACACGAGCATTATGTGACCGCGATAACCAGTTGCGCACGCCTTTTCTGGGTTGAAAACAGCTCCGGCTCAGTTGGGAATGGGGTTTACGAACGGAATTAAACCAGCCGGCGCACTGCGAACCACTAGGATTGCGATACGCGTCTATGCATAGCCAGCGTGACTGCAGGACGCAGCTTTGTACGCTGGAGTTCATGTGCTACTCCCCCCCCCCCCCCCCCCCCCAGGTGGGACTCGTCTACTGAATCTCCACTTGCCTCCCAGGCCAGCGCTACTGTGACCCTGTTTTCATTCCCCTCGACGCAGTATTTTCTGTTCAGAACCGTACGTCGGTCATGTTGTCGCGTGTAGTCGAGAGATCCCCTGTCGTCTTGGTTAAAGTGAGTGTGGGGTTACGTGCATGCTCTGTGCCTGGTCTGGTCACGTGTGGCCCGCGTGCAAAACGGTGCCTTTGTCAGCCGCCCGACTCGGCCGGCCAGGTGTCTGAGCTCCGACCGTACTGTTTACCTGTGCATACGGCCGACGCCAGGTGGGCCGTGAACATTTGCAGCGTGCATGCTGCCTGCTGTGTGCCCGCGAGGCGCCCACGTGCAACCGGCGCCGGCGGGCGGGGGCCGCGTGACAAATCGAGATGAGTTTGGCGGAGAAGTAACGACTGCCGTGTTTCTTTACAACGCCGTTGACTGGAGGGAATGGAATTCAGTTAATTCATCCCGCCCATACACGTTTTCATTGCGTTCACCCCATGGCTCGTTGATGGGACGCTGTCTTGTCTCCGTGCGTGTGACGTTGTACATGATGGCCGGCCGGCTCGCCGGCGGCTGTGCGTTGGGTATGAGCACGGCCGCTGACCGGGGTGACGTTGGGTGTGAGCACGGCCGCTGACCGGGGTGACGTTGGGCGTGAGCACGGCCGCTGACCGGAGTGTCGGCTGTCTGTTCCAGCATGGCGGCCCAGTCATACTCGCTGCTTCCGCCGGCCTACCTGACCAACGCCCGGATGCCGCAGCTGCCGCCCAACCACCCGCTCTCCAACTCCAAGCACTTCTGCGCCATCTGCGAGGACAGGGCCAGCGGCAAGCATTACGGCGTGTACAGGTACCGAGTGTGGCGAGCGGCTGGCGTGTGCCGGTGCACCTCGGGGCCGAGTTGCCCTTTTCGCCCTTTACGGGCAGAAGCTGTCAGACGATCTCCAGTACGGCAATGTGACAGCTCTGGCGGCTGATGTGCTCTATCGCTGGCTGCCGACTCTTGTGCACCGCGGTACGGTGCGGACCTTATGAAACGCAGCGTCAGGCGCTGGAAGGACGGAAAATGGCTGTGGATGCCGGGCGCCCGAAAACCTCAACTATCGTTATCGCACGGACCGCGCGCGGTCACCTGCACACACTCCTGACAGACGTACTCGCTTTGTCCCCGCACTGTCCCACTGCCCGGGGGACAGCCACGGAACTCAGCTCTCTTTTTAGCTGGGTCACGCCGCAGGCCGGCGTCTCTCGGGTCCCCAGTAGGTCGTCAGCGGAGCGCGCCATGTCGGCCGTGACGTCAGCGAACGCGATGGTGCACCTGACCCAGATTGATCAGCTTGTGAATGTAATGTGAGTGGGGCAGGTTTTGCAGGGAGCCCGAAGGTTAGCACCCCGTCAAGAAGGTGGTTGCTAATGGTGCGGCTTCACACCATACGCGAGTTTTGTAAATCTTATTCTGGCCGGTGCCGGGACGTCATTGCAGCTCAGTGGATGCGACGTGGCGTTTTGCGTACGCCACCATCACAGTATATGGGTGTCCTGCGCGCGGGACGCCTGCGGCAGAAGCAGTCTGCGCCACTGCCGGTGCTCATGATGCCGTGGCGGCAGTTATGACACCAGCGAACATGTCTCGGTCGGCGCCCTGATGCTCTTCGGGGGCTGAGACAGTGGAGGTGTTGTTTTCCTCCCCGGCGCAGGGCTCGGGCGGCCCCACGGCCGGGATGGCATCCGCCGGCGCCGCGTGGGTGAACTCCCCGGCCGGGAAGCGACCGCCAACCTGTAGTTGTTGCGCAGCTGCACCTATGCTAAACACTGGAGTGTTTATGGCCTGACGCCGGCGGCGGCTGTCCTGGCTGGTGATCGGCGACAGGTCGCTAGCAGTGCCCGGCTGTTTACCAAGGCAGATATGGATGGCCGGGCTGCGTTCTGTTCGGAACCGGCCGGCGGTGTCATGGCTCAGTGTAGGTCGCAACTTTTCTGCTGAGCGGATCTGTTCTCACGCTCTGACCCAGTGCAGTGTAATCCTTGTTTTAGTGACGTCACGCTTCCAAACGTGACTTTCCTGAGGGTAGATATGTCGGCTTTGACAAGGTGGCGGACGCCTGTCCCTGCAAAATCAACTACCACCTGATGCAACGTAACAAGCATGGCCATATGGTTTGTGACGGTGGGTCGCTGTCGACTCCAGCCGCGGTTGATCGGCGCCGCGTCCGTCGGCGTGCGGCGAGACCGGGCAAGTGGCGGACCGGGGCGAGCCGGTCGAGCCCGGGGCCGACGCCGTGCGCCGCAGCGCTGCGAGGCAGCCCCGCCGACGCGCTGCCCTCGCCGAAACACTGTCCCGCTGTGGGCGCCTGCGACGGCCCAAATTCCGGAGCGTTTATGTGTTTTGACGGCCGTGGTAGTGAAGCCACGCTGGTGAGCAAGTGTATTTTTGCATCTTTCAGCTGTGAAGGCTGCAAGGGCTTCTTCAAGAGGACTGTGCGGAAGGACTTGAGCTATGCGTGCCGAGAGGACAAGAACTGCGTGATCGACAAACGGCAGCGGAACCGATGTCAGTACTGCCGCTACCAGAAGTGTCTGAAGATGGGAATGAAGAGGGAAGCAGTGCAGGTCAGGCGCTTGCGGTGTGTGGTCGAAAACGGTGCCGGCGCACCAGGCATCCCCATCGCGCAGTGTAATCTAAATTGCAAGTGGTGTTGCTGCCACTGGAGGTCATCTTGGTTGCATTGCATGCTCTCGACCTTGCCGGTCGTCCGCCGTGTGCTGCGCGGCGCGACCCGTCGGCTCGCTGCGGGGAGCACGGCATGCCCGTCTCCGATGAGGGTAGTGCGTGACCGGACCCACTCATGGCACGGACCTGGTCAGACTGACCAGGTCCTGATCAGGTCTGCGACCCCGTCGGCGCGCTGCGGGGAGCACGGCATGCCCGTCTCCGATGGGGGTAGTGTGTGACCGGACCCACCCATGGCACGGACCTGGTCAGACTGATGACTGGCCAGGTGGCTGGACGCTCTCTGCCCACTGTGTCACGTGACCTAACTCTGCTCGGTCACTGGGCTGTAGAACCGGAACCTAGCGGAGACGTTTGAACTGACGCTGTCTGCCCTTGGTTGCATCTCATCCGACCGCGTCCCCTTGCGGCGACATTTACCTAAACCGTTCGTTCATGATATTTAACCTGGCCCTCTGTGGACGTTGATATATTGATACCGACCATGCCTGCCCGTAGTGACATTTGGCCCGACCCTGTACACGCGAGCTATATTTGACATGACCGTGTGTGCTCGGGGTGGCGGTTCTTTAGCCTGTGTCCGTTTGCTTGTGGTCATTTGACCTGAACGTTGCTGTTGTGGTTGACGTGGTTGGCCCGGCTCTCCCCGCACATACGTCATTTTACCGGACTATTCGCTCGTGGTGCCATTTGACTGGAACCTTTTCGCTCGCGTAGACATTTGACCTGACCGCGCCGGCTTATAGTAACACGGACGCGACCCTGTCCGTGGTATCGGTAATATTTGACTGGACATTCCCCTTATCGATGGCTTTGACCACATTTATCTGCGTACGTGTGAGTTGTCTTACAATCGTCTGTTGTTGATGACGCTGGATTTGCCTGCTCGTGGTGGCACTCGCCGTGTCCCCGTCTCCTCCGATGGCACTTGACCCTGACTCGGTTCTCTCGCGTGGACATTTGAGCTGACCGCGCCCGCTGGCCGCGACAGGAGGAGCGGCAGCGGTCGCTGGCTCGGGGCGGCGAGGATCAGGTGGAGTCGACCTCCGGCCAAGCGTCCGACATGCCCGTGGAGCGGATCAGAGACGCCGAGGCGGCCGTCGAGGCGCGCGACAAGGAGCTTCCCTCCCCACACACGGTCAGTGGGGTGTGGGACAAGGAGCTGCCCTCCCCACACACGGTCAGTGGGGGTCTGGGACAGGGAGCTTCCCTCCCCACACACGGTCAGTGGGGGCCTGGGACAAGGAGCTGCCCCCTACACACGGTCAGTGGGGGTCTGGGACAGGGAGCTTCCCTCCCCACACACGGTCAGTGGGGGCCTGGGACAAGGAGCTTCCTTTTCCACACACGGTCAGTGGGGTGTGGGACAAGGAGCTGCCCTCCCCACACACGGTCAGTGGGGGTCTGGGACAGGGAGCTTCCCTCCCCACACACGGTCAGTGGGGGCCTGGGACAAGGAGCTGCCCCCTACACACGGTCAGTGGGGGTCTGGGACAGGGAGTTTCCCTCCCCACACACGGTCAGTGGGGGCCTGGGACAAGGAGCTTCCTTTCCCACACACGGTCAGTGGGGGCCTGGGACAAGGGGCTGCCCTCCCCACACACGGTTAGTGGGGGCCTGGGACAAGGGGCTTCCCTCCCTACACTCGGTCAGTGGGTGTCTGGGACAGGGAGCTGCCCTCCCCACACACGGTCAGTGGGGGCCTGAGACAAGGAGTTGCCCTCCCCTCACACGGTCAGTGGGGGTCTGGGACAAGGGGCTGCCCTCCCCACACACGGTCAGCGGGTGTCTAGGACAGGGAGCTGCCCTCCCCGCACACGGTCAGCGGGTGTCGGGGACAAGGGGCTGCCCTCCCCACACACGGTCAGTGGGGGTCTGGGACAGGGAGCTTCCCTCCCCGCACACGGTCAGCGGGTGTCTGGGACAAGGTCTCAGCTCCCCTTGGGGGGTGTTCTCGGTCGTCCACTGACTGCCAGTCCGGCCGCGGCCTGCTCCGTGTCTCAGCGTCTGACGGCGAGCAGCCGGGCTGGACGCCGCGGCGTGCTGCTGTATCGCCACTCGGCCGACCGGCCGTGTCATACCGGTCTGCCTGCACTCGTGCCGCCCGGCGGTGACCCGTGCGCGCGTGTCGGGCCGGTAGGACATGCCGCACCAGCAGGTGCGCGCCGCCATGGACCACCAGCTGCGCCAGCTGATCGAGTGGGCCAAGCGGATCCCGCACTTCCTGGAGCTGCACCGTGCCGACCAGGTGGCGCTGCTGAGCGCCGGCTGGAACGAGCTCATCATCGCCAGCCTGTCGTACCGCTCCGTCCAGCACCCCAACACTATCCGGCTGGGTAACGACCTCAACGTGAGTGCGCCGCGCCCGTCCGGCGGCGCTGGAGACTGCTGCGCGACGGCGGTCCGCCGCCAGCTACCTGGATGACCGGCTGTTGTCTCTGGGGGACAAACTGAAACGCTCGGTGGGCTATTTTACCTGCGAATGTGACGCTTGTATTGATGCAGGTTTTTCAGCTTGTTCTGAATGTGTGAAATGAGCAGACTTCCAAACCATCTCCTCAAGTCAACGCGTTTGTCTTGTATTCAGCTTCCCTCCCAGACGTGCTGTACGTATCTGTATAGAAATGTACCGGCACGCCATATAGGTGGCGTTTCGTTACGCCTAGCTGGTCAGCGGCAGTCGCAGCGTGACATGCGAGCGTGCTCGCCGTGTTCGCAGGTAGGGCAAGACCTGGCCGACTCGGTGGGCCTGAAGGACATCTTCGAGCGCATGCTGGTCGAGCTGGTGACCAAGATGCGCGACATGAAGATGGACCTGGTGGAGCTCGGCTGCCTGCGCACCATCGTCCTCTTCAACCCCGGTGCGTGCGCTGAGGGAGACAGTGGCGGGACGTATCGAAACGCCAGCTGAAAGTGCACGTGTGTTGTTCACGGTGTTACAAATGGCGCATTACTGCGCGGATTTCTTTGACTTGCGTGATACGTTACTGACCAGTGTACTTAACTTTTACCTATCGCATGGTCCTCAGTCGCTGCCGTCTCGAATATTTCCCGACTTGTCCCGCGTTGGCCCGTCTTAACCATGTGTAGCGTTTGTCAGTCATTACCGGCACTGTCCGTTGTCTGGACTATCGGTTTCCTTGTTTCGTCGAGAGATGGCGCGCGGCGAGGCGGCGCCCGACTGACTCGCACCCCCTGCTCCCCAGACGCCAAGGGCCTGAAGTCCGTGGAGCTGGTGGAGCGCCTGCGGGAGCATGTGTACGCGACGCTGGAGGACTACGTGCGCCAGGAGTACCCGCGCGAGCAGGGCCGCTTCGCCAAGCTGCTGTTGCGGCTGCCGGCGCTCCGCTCCATCGGCCTCAAGTGCCGGGAGAAAGATCCTGTTCCTCGACCTGCTCGGCTACGGCCAGTCGATCGAGTCGTACGTCTCGAGCGTGCTCGACAGCGGCTACGTGCGGCCGGATGCATGAGCCGCTCGGCCCTGCTCAACGGGTGCCGGCGTCGGCGCTCGCACCCGCGTCCGCGCCCGCCCGCGCCGCCCGGTCCCTGTCCCTGTACAGCATACTTCCGTCTAAACGTCTCTCCCTTCGTCAGACTCGGTGGTGTGGGCTATCCACTGGTGACGTCACCGGACCGCGTCGGCTGATATTACGCGACGTCTAGAGGTACCTGTGCGGTGTGTGTCGGCTGCCGCTCCCCCTCCCCCGCCGCCCCCGGACGCCAGTGAAATCGGTTAGGTTTTTTACTTAGATATTGGGCCGACTTTTCGTCTTAGTTTGTTTGCGTAAGTTAGGTAGCTGTGTTCAGTGGATGCCGACACACGTCTGGGGCGACTTGCTGTGTGTTGTGTGCTTGACTTGGCGGTAGCCAGCCGTCGGCGCCCGTGCGGGCCCCACGGTGCGCCGTGGCAGGCCGGCTAGACGCCACGAGGGGCGCCCCAGCCCTGCATTGCGTGTGTCGCGTGCGCCGCGCGTGATGCGTGCCTTTTGAGAGCCGGAGCTCTGCGCTGTTGTCTGATGCCGACTCGGGTAGTGAGGGCATCTTAGTTGGGTCGAGGGGTGTGCCGTTCGCCTGCGTTTGCCGAATGTCGGATGAGCTCTGACGTCACCAAGCTGTCGGCGTTGGCTCGCCGACAAACCTGATTCGCGCACGAGTTCAGTTGTTTTTAGCCCTCATGGTGTGTTGGCCGTTTTTACCAAAGTGCAACGTGTTTAGGGTTCTGTGAGTGCTTCCTTTCTGCGCTGTCTTTGTGGGGATGATCGCTGTCCGTCGGCCGGATTTTGAGCAGGTACTGACGACGTAGAGGTTGTTGATGTAAGTATGTGGTTCATAGATCAGCGACACCAGGGCGGTGTCCTTGGAGCCAACATCGAAACGTTGACGTGTTTACAGTCGTTTTGTTTTTAACGTTGACCACGATCTGAAACTTTTTGGAAATGCGGAATATTTCCAGCAGATGAAATTTGATTTGGTTTGTCGATCTTATGTTCAACCGATTTGGTATGGTTCTCATTAAATGTGTTTGAGTGGATCGGTGTGTTTTTGATCGTACATTCAATATCGCTCGACTAAGGTATCGTGAATAGCATGTAAATGATGACTGGTGTTTCATTTTCAGTAGATATCTAGATGATAAATACATGGCAGTTTATATACCGGCTTTGATCGAAAATGTTGCCACTGTATACAGATCACTGGTAACATAGCCACGTTACCAAATCATATTTCCGATGTCGCGAAATCGGCGCTGAGTTTCGAGCATCGCCAATCATTGCTGATTGTGAGCGAGCCGCAGCCAAGCGAGTCTGACTTGAACAGTGGGAACACCTACAACTGTAGAGGCCCCCGTCCCGACAGCAGGCTTTCTGGAAGCTGATATCTTATCCTCCGCGCCACTTATCGCACCTGCGAACAGGTTTCAGCAGTCAGGAGCGCAACTCTAAAAAGCTGCGGTAGATCAACCTCGAGGTGCTTGCACAAGCATGGTTCTTCAGCCACGTCCATGCGTGAGGAAAATATATTTCCTTTTTCTATCAACGTTGGAACCCTGAAAGCTGTTATTTGCAAAGGAACCACGTGACCCGGGTCCACATCGCGCCAAACCGCGCTGCGCCCAAACGCTAGCGGCACATTTGAGTTTCGAAAAAGAGAAATTCCGTGGCGGAAGTGCAGGTCAAAGCATCGCCGGGGCTGCCGCGCGTGCCCCAACTATGCAACCGTCCGGCCTCGGCTGATGTAAGGATTGGTGTTGGATCTCGGCAAACGGAACAAGCAAAGACGGAACCAGCGGTTTGGTGCAGACACATGCACCGTGCTTTCCTCCCAGAGCGGTCTCAGGACCGCCCGACCCACAGCCGCACCACCAATTGACCGGAAGGCGATTAGTCACCCCTTTCAAGGCAAGTCTCGAATGTCGCCCCCCCCCCCCCCCCCCACCCTGCTCCGATGTGCCCTAAACCGAGATATATTTGACTATGAAGTCTGCACAAGCGCGCAGTTTTCTATGACCAATGCTCACCCAACACTTTTACGTTTCTTGCAATGCTTTGCCCATTCACCAAAAACGTTGGTCAATACGAATGCATTGTTCATTGGACGGAAAACGCCCAGCCTGGTCAGACGCCTAGACTGCAGGGTTTTAAGCAGTGGCCATTCTGAATGAGTCTCCGAAAGCCACGTTCCTTTTTTTGCCTCGAAATAAAAGACGACCACCGTCACTAGTAATTGTTTCGCAACCCGAGACGTGCTCCCCAATAACGTTCTGTAATTAACTGGCCACGAAAAATAGCCACGACCAGCTTTCAACGTTACATGGAGGCAGATTTGTGCATGCAAAACAAGATGCCGAAATATATTTTCCCACAATGCCGGCTATGCAGATGGTGCTTTCATAAAGGGGGGCGCAGCACCCGTGTTGTTAAGCACAAGCTCATCCAATGATGCGAACGGCCGGATAATGTTTTTGTCCCTATTAACTGCATAGAAATCGACTGTCGTGAAGGGTATTCCATTTGACAAGATTTCGTAAATATTCACCAGTGTATTGCCTGCCCTCATACCTTTTGCAGTTTGTCCATATTTATGAATTTTGATGACAGATCAGTTGGTATTGATGTTGAACATGAATGCTGGTACAGCACGAAGCATGAAAATACACAATTTTCAGTGTCGTCAAAGGTGTAGCCACTCCGAAATTTGCAGCGCTCAAAGCACTAGCTCATAAAAATGTTTACGTATCGCCGAAATGTTTCGAATTATTAATATTAATATCGTGTATTAATGCTATTAATTCATGAATCCTTTGATATGGGTTGCTAAAAGTATCTGACTCCATTCGCTCAACTAAATGTGCTCCATTCCGCAGGAGCTCAGTACTCAACTTACATGCCAACTTGGCTACCATTTGAGCGAAAGGCCTCTTTATTGCGTAGTGACAACTGTTTGCTTGTTATCGTTGGATCTTCGGCGCGCGTAGGCTGAATTAGCGTGGTTGGAGTGTACCGAGAAAAACAGCTGCTTTGCTGAAAACTGGGCACATTTCAGCGAACGTTGACGCTGCCGCTGTTGCACCTGTCATGCTGCATTCACTACCTACGCATAAGGGTTACTATTGTCAGCGGCATGGCGGCAGGCCCGGTCGAGCCGTGGTCTGTGCGGACTCAGCTGCACAGCGTCTGCTGCGGGGTCTGACTCGGTACACAGCGATGATCAGCAGGCCCGAACCGTTGACCTGGACCATGCGACGAGCGCTCCAAACCTCCAACAGGCTGAAAAGGCATCCCCTTTGCCGCCTGCGCCGGGGTGGACATTGTGCCCAATAGCTCGGTATCGAATATAGCGAAAATAAAACGAGACAGCTAGAATTAGACCGAATGTGTACATCATTTGGTGGTGCCACCATGACGTTACCCGAGAAGATCACGCAATGGTTGTGACGCTGAGTCCTAAAGCTCCCGACAAGCTGTCATGCCTGACACCGCATGATGACATCCAAGCTGTAAATGACAGACCACTATGGAGGGATCTGTCATTAACGATAGCGACACATGTCGTTACGAGTGGCCCGGACTCGCCGACCGCCCGGCGGGTTCCCTGTGGGGCCAGTTCCGTGCTGTCGGGCCCTGGAGCACCCCCTCCCCCCTCCCCCACTCGCGATGACTCGCCCGCGGTGTGCACGCGTCACTCGGCGACGCGTGAGGGCGTTCCCGGCGGGGGAGTGGCGTTTCCACGCACGCGGTGGGAGCAGGTCGGCGGCAGGAGTGGTCACGGTGTGACTAATGAGCACGTGTGGGTTCGTGGTGAGGCACCGCGTGAGATTAGCGGGCTGCCGACAACCGGTAACTCACGGCCGCGCAGGGGCGGCGCCACCAGCCTATTGGCGGTGGCTGACATTTCGCGTGCGGTACTCCGCCAGATCAAGGGCCTCCGCCAATCAAAGGGGATTCCTTTTACAGAGCGATCTATCACACATGCAATGGCGTGATAACTCTGCTAATGCGGTGCATGTCGTATATTATTTTTGTAGAGTGCACGGGCAGCACCTCGAACTTTTTTGGCAGACCAATATGCATTCGTGGATATCCGTCGTAAAGACCGCAGGATAAGACGTTCCCAATGCAACAGTCTTCCTATGTATGGAACCATTTCGCAACTCAGGACCTATTATGCGTGTGATGAATTTATAGCAACACTGACTATGACGCAGTTAATCACGTTTCCTGGTATGAAAAGCATCCATCGGTGCCTTAAAGCACGGGAGAATTTTTGCAGGTCGATATCAAAACCAAGGCGCATCTAAGAAGGAGGAACAAATGACACATTTTTAAACGCTGAAGGAAATCCAAGCATTTCTGACAGGGAGAAACTGGCTTTAGAATCCCGCTTGAGGCAAAATGTAACAATATCTGATCAGCTTTTTTGGAATCCGTACACTTTTTAGTTCCGTCCTCCCAGGTCGGGGTTACCCCTCCCCTCTGCGACGTTTTGGATGCGCTCTTGTATGAAGTGATTAATTACTTTAGTGATTAATTAATAAAGTAATTACTTTACTTTAGTGATTAATTAATTAAGTGACGAATTACGTGCCTGATCCCACGATTTGAGTAAAATCCTGCACTCATGCTTATGTTCATCCCTGCTAAGTTTCACAAAAATCATCCATAGCGTTTGCATGGATGTTCCCCCTATTACTGTTACTTCTCAGAATCACAACAGGGGCCTCTTCTTAGTTGCGTCTGGAGCCATCTCCTGGTCATAAAAGGGCTTCCTCTTAGTTCAAAGCGGCCTGCTCCGTTACCGCGCCTTTTCGCCACCAAACTGTTGTGTATGATTTCGGAATCCGGTGATTAGGAACTATTTTGGTTTTGAATATTATGCACACTTCGTTGGGTAACAACGACCAGCAGCCTTAAGTTAGTAGGTCGCAAGACTAGCGGAAAGCCGAGTGAAAATGTACGGTGCACAACTGAAACAAATGGTGCATAACCGGTGCATACCAACAACGATAGCTCATTGATACGCTGGGTACCGCACCTATTAGCGTGTGTGGGACCTGTTAGTCTGTTCGCAGTGCATGGGTTCTGTCAACAGGCTGGAACTTGC